TGAAGAACGACCGTGGAAACTGGTGGGCAACAATAGCTAGTGAAATGGCAGCAGTAGCTGCATTAGGGAATAGTCAAAGATACGCAACATATGAGGTCGATGAACTCCAGTTAGTGAAACCATCTGTGATAAAAGGGGTTAAAAGAGAACAGCTTGACAGCTGGGCGAAATACTTCGATGAATGGTTCAGCTGACCTGGCGCTAGCCAGATTATCTCATATGCAACTGAAGCTCGTGGGCAGTGTCGTGCAATCCTCCGGTAGAAGCAGAAGTTCGGTCTTGCATTCAAGCTCTGAAGCGAAGAAAGGTAAAAGGGCTAGACGGACAGCGTCTTTGTCATTTTAAGATGGCGGCAGATTATAATCCAGTAAGGTCTATTAATAACTTACTGCACAAAATTTGGTCGCAAGAGAGCATTATTTATCTTGGGACGAATCACTGATCGTTCCCACTTTCGAGAGGGGATCTCGCAACCATTACGAAAAGCACCATAGGATAAGTTTGATCCTAGTCGTCACCAAAGTGTTAGCTTCCACCAAACTTCGACGTCTGACTCCTTTAAGAAAGACCAACATCCATAAAGGCAAACAGTCGATGTATTGATTAAATTTTCACGTTGCATCAGGCTTCTGAGCTGCGTTACACCGATGGTCGACCAACGATTTCAGTGTTCCTCCACTTGAAAGGATCCTTTGATTCAGTTGACCGCGGAGATTTAATGGTTTCTCTTTTAAGAAAAGAAATGTCCCACAGATGCATTCCTTCTTTTTCATCTTTACTTCCTTTTATTGAATACACTGATATAATTTTCAGGAAGGAGGAACCGACAATTGAAGGGCTGCTATAAAACACAACGGGGAAAGTCAAGCGGAGGTGGTGGGACTCGAGCATACCTACGAAGTGATAACTTGGTGACCTTTACCACTAGACCACCACCGCCTAATTAATTTACTGAGGTCCCTGTATTCCCGTACCTCTAGCCGAGTGAGGGCCTATACCGAATTAAGTAGGCCGTTCGTCAGCAGCAACAGCATCGTTCGCCAAGGGTGCCCTATTTCGCCATTCCTGTGAAACTTCTTCGTAAACCAAATACTGAAAAACGCACTAAATGGCCTTCAAAATGTAGATATGGAATGGGTAGCTGGAGAAATGCTGCGCGATTTAGAGTACGCTGATGAGATCGTCTGTCTGTTCGAATGTATGGAGGATGTGCAAAGCGCACTTGATAGAGTAACAAGTGCCGTCACCCCATTCGGTGTGTGCTTTGCACATTCGAAATGCGAAGTGATGCTGGGCGTCGCTTTAGAACTAAACAACCAGAAATTATATAGTTATAGTGGATTTTCTTACTTAGGTAGTTGTGTGACCAATGGTGGAAGCGGAGCAAATGAGATAACCACCCGCATTTCCAAGGCTTGAGTGGCGTACGCAGGACTGTAATATCTTTAGCGTAGACGGGACGTTTCACAGAAGTTGAGAGGTTGTGCGTATTATGCTACCGTTCGTTCCATTCCGCTGTATGGTTGCGAGACCTTGAACTTGACAATGGAAGATATCCATCGTCTAAAAGTTTTTAATTATCGATGTTTCGGTAGTCTAGTCCAGGGGGGATGGAGCGAAGGTAGGTAATCTGAAGGTAAGCCGTCGTGTTCGAGAGCTGATCGGGGATAAATTACCTAGAGCATCTAATTCAGATTCGTAGGCTTTGCTGGCTAGAGCACGCATTGTGTATACCCAGTAGTCATCTGCCACACCACGCTTTATCAGCTGTAGTGGCTCCGGGCTGGGGGAAACCCTTTGGAGGTCAACAGATGACTTGGAGACGAGGCATGAAGAAATACACAGAGCTATTAGGTAGAGTAGGCATCTCGCGCCTTCCAAGTTGGTGTCCGAACAGTTCTGCTACTGATGGATTGAAGACACTGAAGAATATAGTAGCGAACCGACAGCACTGGCGATCTTGTTGTCAATCCTTATCATGCCCGAATGCTTGAAAAGTTCTGTATGTACCATTAGGTTGTGTGAGATTCACTTCCTTACCCCCTTCACAAGAGGTCTAAACCCTGACCACCTTACATATTACTACTGATTTTATATACATTGCGAGTTTTGCAGCGATCGGCGAAGTTCGCTTCACTGTATTTTGCTGTGCGATAATGATGATGACGAGATTTATTCTGAACCAAAATGATGAAGGGATGCGAACTCACATTTCTCCCGGTATATCTGAATGCAGGTCGACGAACACTCGTGGGTGTAGTGCATGAGTGGTAATAAACTTCAACTGAGATCGCGGAAATCCGGTAGTCAAAAGTGAACATCGCTCTACTTTGGGACTGGCGAGTAAAGTTGTAAACGGTTCGATAGACCTGTGTGTGAATTGTTCCACAGCGGAATGAGGTTATCATCTCGTCATCAAGTGTGGGAGCACAAATACAACTGTCTAACTGTGTTCTCTTGTCTTGACATTAACCGAAACCTAAACACTTCTCAACTTTTAGAATCACATGGCCCAATTATGAAATTTTATCCCGATTGTTTGCTCCTATATTTGTCATGATATAAAAATCGGCATGTTACGTAAGCGATCGAGGAAAGTAAACAAAAAGCACGAGCATTCACTTCTCGACTGGATCCCGGTGAGTAGCCGACTTTGCGCTGTACGTCTGGATGGTTCAGCACGGGTCAACAGCTGCAGAACGAAGCGTCAATGCTTATTCGTCGTATCCGTGCATGCATCGGCTGATTGCAGTTCGCCAAAAATGAAGGATCAATTCTACAAGGACCTCTCGCAACTACTCCAAGGTGCTCGGTCAACGGACGTCGTAGTATTCGCAGGAGACTTAAATGCTCAAGTGGGATCCCTCGAAAATTCAGAAAGGCTTCTTGGTGGTTCAAATGCAATCCCAACCAACCGGATAGATAACGGAGAAAGTTACCGGAAACGGATAGTCACAATATTATGTCAGTGATCATTGTAAATCGACCCTCGAGGCAGAACTCTGGTGACCTTCAAGCTTAACCATCAACCGAAGGACTCAGCGAACCCTGAACGACAATCAAGGAAGTGGAACAGATGCCAATCAAAAACAACGGCAGATTCTGGTGCACGATCAAATCAAAAACGATGGATCTCCTCGACCTCGGTTGCCTTGCTGGTCGCTTGCAAAGCTATTCCTTCGGATTCAAGATACGACAAAGCGCGCAAATCCTTTAAACGCCAGCTCATCAAGAGCCTGAGGAATGATAGCGAGAAGTGGTGGGTAGGGATATGGAGAAGGCTGCGGCTATCGGTGGTCAAAATAAGACCTGACATGAGGGTATGAATACCATAACCGGGAAACTCGGTCACAGATCCCGTTAGATTCCTCGGATAGGGACCTCGAGATCATATTAACCGATGGTGTAGTGTGATATGACTGAGTGTAGTAAATGGTGTCACTCGTGCACCTATTCATTACTCTTGCAACACCCGTTTACATTAACTCTCTTTCTACTGTTTGTATCTGCTCTCAACATTCGAATCTCCATTCAGCTCTTTTACATAAATGAGTAGCCAAAAGGCAGCAAACAAAACTGGAAATGAATGGTTAATGGCTGTAAAAGCTGGAACTGATGTGCATTTTGCTTAGTTACAATTTTGCATACACGTATTCGTTCTGGATCGTCTTATGAGAAACCACAGATCACATACTTTTGGGCAATCCAAACCTACTGCCTACAAGGGTGAGTAGTACTTCTCAACACTACCCAAATAAAAATAATTACTTCATAATATATCTTTATCATGATGACCTGGAGTCAATTAAAAGTGTATTTTTACCAAATGAATGGTATGTTCGGGAACGAACGGCTTTTTCAGTCGGGCCGTGGATGGTCGAAAGATAACGTAGTGCAGTCGAAATCAGTTGCCAAAGCTTTCTTGTGTCAGCAAAAAATCCGACCAATGAGTGTTATAAAACCCACGAGGGGCAAAGCACAGCCGATAGCATCGTTCGACGCACAAAAATGTATATGTGAGACCTTCAAACAAGCACAGTTCGGCGTAGTTCAGTGGTGCACACCGCACTGCGAAAGAAAACGCTTCGTGTGAAGAAGCGTCGAATATCGGTCATCCTCGAATTCTACCAGCTGGATGAGTCCGTTTCATCACATTCTCATCACCGTGGCGCATCAGACACCGTGCTTGTAGTAGCAACTTAAACATCCTGAATTGTTACCAAAAAGTCTTGAATTGAAAAACATTACCAACCGAAATTCCGTTCCTTCAACGGACTATACGATTATGGCCGTTCGGTCATCGAATAAGCAGGACTAAATGAATGAGAAAAGATAAGTGTGGAGTGGGTGGAGAGAAAAAGGCAATCAAAGAAGGTGGCACTTGGAGAGAAGGAGAGAGAGGACAAGAAAATCAACGCAAAACGATGGTCATCAATCGTGCGCACTTGTAAACAGACCAGTTTTACGCCCGGTAATAAACACCGGAAGGAGCACGGATGATCAAAGGAATCGAAACAGTTTAAAATCTGTCATGGTCCGAGAGAGAGAAACGCACGACATGGTCCAGATAATTCTCTGCTAATCCGGTTCACACTATCGCGAGCAGGTGAACACTGATGCTAGTATAAGTTCCGGCACGTTCTACAATCACTTTTAGCTACATTTTCGGCATTCATACGATAGTTTGCGGTTCAGCTTTCATAGCATGTTTCATATTTGCATTCGATTTTTGTGTAACTTGGGGACCGGGGGACCGAGAAAGAGAGCTGAATGATAGTCTGTACCGTAACCGAGCACCAAACTATGCGCATCGGAGAGAAGAAAAAAAACGAGACGAACCAATTTGTTTGTTTACTCTTTAGCAGTTGCGTGTGTAAAGCGAGCACCATAGTATAGCGAATTACCTGATCCACGTTTTCATCGCTCTTGGCCGAGGTCTCGATGAACATGCAAGAGTGCTTAGCGGCCAGTCGTTGCGCGTCATGGGTGGCCACGGTTTTCAATTCCGGATTTTCATTTTTGTTACCCACTGAGGTGCGTTTGAGTTCGGTGATATGGGTGTGTGTGTGTGCAAAAGAGAAAGAGGAAGAATGAAGCGGGGGAC